GTGTTTACCGTAGGTAAGGTTTCTTCATGTAAGACGTTAAAATTTTTTGCTCGTTAATGTAAGATGGACAAATACCTTGTAAAGCCAATATCTTCTACTCCGAAACGGACATATGAAAATGAAACAAATGTGGGTAGAAACGATCAAAACGAAACAAATACGCATTTGAGCAACCTGATGAGAATAGCTGATGAAAAAGTAGATGTAGAACATTTTCCATATGATGATGCTGCAAAAATATTCAATGCTTTAAAAATTAGAAGATATTAAAAATGCATTATGATTAAAGAAATGAATTTTTTTTTCAAGTCTCTTGGTGTTTTTTTTTTTTTTCAAATTTTTGAAGTCTCACTTAACTTTTTGAAATCTCACCCTGTTTTTGAGAAAGGGTGAGAAATTCCCACCCATTTTTTTTCTGAGATGAAAACACTGTTAGCAGGGTGGTCATAATGTAATGGCTCTTCGGTGTAAAGCGTGAATGGTAGATGAACATCATAGTTAAAAAACAGGATCATCAAAATCACAAGAAAAGTATTGTAATAATTGCAAAAAAAAAAAAATGTGTTTAAATATTTGATGAAATCAATACGAATAAAGCTCATTAATAAGTAATGATTTTAGTGCGCTATTTAAAATTTGAATGTTGTAATAAAAATATTAATTTTTAAAACCATGTGAGAATGTAGAGCAATGACAGCCTAAAGAATGATTGAAAAGTAGCTTGGACTTTCGTTGAAATCGGCACAAACAAAGTGTGTCAAAATCGCATTGAATGTACTGGAATTTTTAAAACCGCATGGAAATTAATAGTTATAACTGCCAAAAAAACCTATTAAAAATAATGATCAAAAAATTAATGGATTTATGATGAAATCGGCAAATATAAAGTGAGTTAGAAAGGGATTACTCATATTTAAAATTGGCGCATTGTAATATTATATTAAAAATTAAAAAAAAAAAACTCCAAAGAAATTGCCTATTTTTTCATTGTATCCAGAAGCTTCTGCTTATCAACAGTTGGCAGGTCGCACATGGCCCACTGGTTGTGCACCCTTAATTTATTGTATAAAAATTATCTTCAATTTGCTGCTGAACCTGCATGAAATGTATGTATTCATATTTTTAGTTAGTCAAGTTTATGTTTAGTTTGAAACTGAAAAGTTGCAATTGAAAACACTTCATGAATTATTTATTTATGAAAAAAATATTTTTATACTGATGAAGTAAATTTGTGTATTTATTGTATTTAAGATCCTGCATTTGCCATCAAGGATAACAGTTAATCATATTATTGCCAGTTATGTGAAGGAAAAAGTATCAGTTAAGGGGCTCTCTCAATCCATGTAAACATGTTACTTTTTTTTAAAATTGAAAGTATTTAATTTTTTTTTAATATTAGTTAAATAAAATTTTATATTTAAACAGGGAGTCTTCTATTGTTTTGTTTGCTAACACCATTCGAGACTGTTTTAATGTTGCACTGGGGAAAATGCTGCTTTGGAAGTTTGAAAGACCTGCATATGCTGAGGTTAGTTAGCATATTCAATTATTATTATTTTCTCTTATTGACTTGATATGCGTTGAACCACCAAGGCTTTTTTGAAAACCTTCTTCCTATCTAATAACTGTTTTGAGGTTTGATATGTTAAAGTTTTCTTCTACTCAATCAGTCTATTGCACCTTAATCCTACCCTTAGTTCCTGCTCTTATAGGTCTCATTGTTAAAGATCTTAAAGGACAAGGATGAGGGATCTATTTAACAGACATGACTGGCAAATCTTAGGTCACCTTTCTTAAAATTAGTATTATCATCTTCCTTAAATAACCTGCATAATTCAAAATTGTGTCATTGTCTCTGCAATCTACTTTCTTTTGCTTTTCCAAAATATTTTTAAAATAAGTTCTGTCATTGATCTATGTCTTAGATCCATGGGTTAGCGAAGATCTAATGATTGCTTTTTTTTAAAAAATATTTTTGTTTGTCTTTTAATTAATGTTGATTTGTAACAGATAAGATTCTTTAACCAGTAAATATCTGAAAGCTGAAAATTTTAATTTTGAATTGGTTGATAAATTTATATATCTGAACTCAAACATCACTCTGAATAAATAATATAGGTATTGAAATAAAGAAACATACTTTCACAGATAAACACTGCCTTCATGGTTTAAGAACTTTCTTCTTCTTATTTTTTTTTATAAAACTTAAAAATGCAATGTAGCAGAAAACAATCTATTCTGTGTAATAAAATTCTTTCTTTATGGATTATTTATTTCATATCAAGTTTACATATTTTTGATCTTTCTTCACCTTACCCTTTTCATGATACAATTTTATTCCATTTTCAATAAATTTGAATTATGAATTAGCATGTATTATGCATCAGAATAAAAAAATGTGTTATGCAGTAATATACTTTCATATGTATTGTTCTATGATCTATTTTTAAAGAATATTTCAATAATATTTATTAAACTTCACTAATTATAAAATTAAGTTCTTAAAGTATCATTTGAAAATCAATATATATGCGAGTGTTTTTAATTGTTAAAAAAATCACAGGCCTTGTTTTAAACACATAGCATTCTGTTTTACAGTTTTTTTTCCTTTTGACTAAATCATCATTTTATAACATTTTGTGGGGCAGGTTGTTATCGACAAAGTCAACCTTCATCTATGAAAAGGTACCCCAACAAAGAATCGAGTTAACATGTCTTGTATACTAGTGAATTGGACCTGTATTTTTGTAGTGGTAGATACGCTACAATTTTTCAGCCTTAAGGATATGCTCACTATTGCTTATCAACCTTATGCAGTTCTTTTAAGATCACTTTGTTCTTCTGTTTAATTTTTAAAAAATTGAAATAATATATCTTTAATATAATGCTCAATTGATGTAATATATATAAATAACACTTGTCTTCAAAATCTAGCTTTTACCCCTACATCTCTTATGTGTAACACCATGAACCACTTATACCATTTTACTGAAATTATTATGAAATATATTTATTATTGAGGTTAGCTGAAAATTTTTGTAAAAAAAGAAAAACTAGTATAAAAAACTTGTATTAATTCAAATTGAATTTAATTTCTTTAATCTGAGAAAACACAAAACAGGCTAACAAATATTTTTAATAATGTTTATGAAATAAAAAAGATGATAAATGTTTTTGGTATTTATTTTAACACTATAAAGTTATTCACCCTGCCTGCAGGGAATTTAAAACAATAATTTTCTTCATCATAAACTCAATAAAGAAACTGCTAAATGAAATAATATGGTCAAATTTATCATTCAGAATTAAATTTCGTCATATGGTCAGTTGAACATCTGCAATGGAACATTTGAGAACTACACTTCTTAAAATAATGTATGTCTTTGAATCAATATAGTCACTAGAGAAGTTTGCAAAGCAACCGAATTTCCTGGAATTCAAACTTAGGTTGTTTGTACAGAAAACAAAAATGCTTTTATCTTCGGAGCCACCCTAATGCTATTGGAAAAATTCCTTAGATATTCTGAAAATGTAATAATATTGCTACTTATTATTTTTTTAAAAGAAGTTATGGCAAATCTATTACTTGCTTTAAAATTTTATAAGTTTATGAATACCAGCTATATTTTTATAATATAGTATGTATCATATTTCCTCCTCATTTGAAATAGTTGAAAAAAATTAATAATAAACGTGATTTAAATTTCATAAATGTTGAAGTTTTTTCATTTTTTAAAATTTTACAGATGCTTGCAGAATATCCCGAATCCAGTATGTGTGAAATCTATGGCGCCATTCATTTATTACGAATGTTCAGTAAGTATGTTAAAATATATATTCAAAGGTGTTCTTCAAAGCTCTGTTTCATAGGAAAACCAAAAAGCTACACTTTAGAGTGCCTTGAACTGGAAGGAAAACTTTCATTTTAAATTTTGCATACTATCTTTTTGAAAAGATAAGCCAGGATTTTAAAATGGACAAATAACTTAGTATATTTAGAAGATTGTTAAGATTTAATTTTTGAAACTTGCCAATTTAGAGAGTTTTTCCCACTAAAATTAAAGTTATTAAATAATTTTGATTTACTATGCATTTTTATGTGTTCAAACAGCACAGCTTTAAAGATTACATTGCAAAGATTACATTGCTTTCAAAAATTGCATTGCAAACACTTTTTATTTTTTCAAAACTGTCTTTTTTTTAATATTTTGTCTCATTTTAGTAATTTGCATATAAGACACTGACTACAGATGGGAAAAATTGAACCTTACTGTTAGTAAAAACTGTTGCAAACTTGCAACTGTCATAAAGACATGGCATGTTATTTACTGAGTTACTATTTTATATGAAGACAAAGCGTTCGAAGAACAGCCTTTAAGTGCTATGTAAATTTATTTTTAGCATGATTCACATTATTTATTATTATTTTTGTAGCTAAAGTGGGAAGTTTGTTAACTGGATTATCAAGCGAAAGAAATGCATTGACTTCTCTACTGGTCCAAATGGAGGATTTTGTTAGGTAATTCATAAAAACATTTGATTTGGTACTTTAAATTTGTTTTATTTGTATTAATATCCTGTTTTTATGACTAAGATAGAGGTTTATTTTCGAAGTGCTTGATAATACGTGCAAAATTTTTTTATGATTATTATTAAACCAAATTAATCGATCAGATGTATTAGTAAAATAAAATGAGGTACAATATCATTACATCTGTTTTCTTATTGATCATTTGTAATTAATGTATAATTTAGAATTCCTAATTTATTTATAATTAGTTTAAAACAAGATTCCTGTTTGCTTACCAGCTTGGCTGCATTTGCATATGAGTTCGAAAATTGTCGAATCAGTGTAATGAAATGATTATTAGTAATTTAAAAGAAATAGGTATAAATTAAAAATATTTTTAATTGAAATTCAATTTTTTTTTATTCAACTTAAATTTAAAACCCAAAGCAAAATTGAGATGCAAAATCAATTTTATGCTTCTGTAATACTCACGCTTGAATATAATCAAGAATTGAAAATAATAATATAAAAGCTAAGAAAAAAATCTTTTTGTTGATATTTATCATTTAAATAGGTTTGTGAGCCGTAATATTTGTTTATTCAAACAAATAATATAGCCTTAATCAAAATACGAAATTAAAATAAAATTTTTGATTGATTTTGTATTATTTTTTTTCTTCCCCAAAACTATTTCTAAAATGTGTTTTTTTTAATGAAGAAAAAATTTTTTTTGCTGATTTTTTTTCTTCAAAACAAGTATACACTAAGGAATTAGAGAAGTATTTGTCATAGTTTTTGGTTTTACGGAATAGTTAACAAAAATATTCCAAATGGACCCCAAAATGGCCAATAAATTGAAAAACCAATTTAAAAAAAAAATGATGAAGTTAAAAATTGCATGGTGTACTGCACTTTGCTTAGGAAACTAGATTTTTCTCGCAAATTTTTTAAATTAGTTTCAAAGTTTAGAAATAGATTGTGTTTTGTGACCTGAAAAACTGCAGATGTTAGACCATTCCACATAAAATATTTATATGGTCATACTAAAGTTTGTTCTCAAACTTCCCCACGTTTTTACTAAAAATCATGATTATGTTCAAAACATTGTTTTGTAGTTTTTTACCGATAGCAATTTGATTTTTTTGACACACTTTGTAACTAATTTTGAAGCTTGGTGAGGATATGAAAGCTCCACAGAGCACTAAACCTTACATTTTTATCTCCTCTTTTTCCTTAGTTGATTTTTTTAAATCATCAGTCATCCTTCTGATTCCTGGTTATAAAAATGCAATATCTTAAGCATCATTTCTGCTTATACATCATTGTGATTTCTTATAAGTGTGAGATATTTTTAATGCTTAAACAGTATATACCTTGGCCGTACAAGATTTAATCTTACATAAAAGTACAACCATTATTATGCTTGACATAAATTCTACATGTCAGAAACCTTCAATAAATTCTCTGCGCTCAAATTGTACTAGAAATAAAAAACCATTGATTTCTTATATTTCTGAAATGAACTTTCAGACACATGACTTATAGCAAGTTTTTTGCAAATGCTATATACAAGAGCACTTTGAGAGACTTTCAAAATTTGATAAGAAACAATGCATGCTGAAATAAAGTAATTAAATTCTATATAAAATCATTGAGTTAATTGTATGTTATTACTAATAAATTTGTTAAAAACTGCTTTGTTAATTCATTTTTTTACCATGTGCAAATCTAATTCGGGCAAATCTGTGCCAAACAGGCAAATTATGTTTCTCTCTTTTTTTATAATTAATGTTAGTTTTCTAGAATCATTAAAATTATGTAATTAAATATCAACCTTATTAATTATAAACTTCTTAAAATTATCCAGTATAATATTATTACCTTGAGCTCATCCATTTCCCGGCCAAACATTGGTAACTAACAAATCAGTACTACAGTAAAAGCACATCATAAAACAAAAACCCTCTGTTTATGCTTTTAGCTCACTTTGCTCTTTTGTTTTCATATCTTGTAATCTGGCAATCTTATTTCAAAAATATTTTAAATCATTCTTGAAAGTTTCTGCACATGTAAGTTAATTTGAATTTGCTACTCGCTTTAGAGATTTCGTTTTGTGTTTTGTTCTGTTTTTTTCTTTACATTTTATTTTCTGATTTTTATATGATACATTTTTTACTTCATGTATACTATTTTGTTTCAATTTTTTTGAATGCTCCTCATATTATTGTAGTGATATATTTTGCTTTGGCTATATTGATACAATATTAGAAAGCACTCTTTTTTGTAGATCTAATCATGTAAGCTAATGATGAGATTATATCTTTTCATTTTCTTTGTTTTCCAACTTTTTAATATATATATATTTGAATTTTTTTTAAATATTTTCTTTTTCCCTTTTCATTAATCTTTAATATTTTCCATGTTTCCTTTATATATATATTTTATAAATTTTTTGAATTTAGGCAGTATATTCTTAATAGTTTTCATAGCTAAATTCTTTATTTTTTGATTGCATTTTATTTATAATTGTGTTTTTTAGGTACATAGCCCAGAACCCAAGTTTTTTCAGTTTGAATGATTATGTTGTTGCATCTCCAGAATATCATCGAAGAGCATTATGATCTCAAAATCAACATCATCATTCAGAAAAAAATCCTTCAAAATTCAGGCTTTTACTGTGTGAAGCCAGCAATTCATTGTACATAATGCATTTTATACCCTTTAGTATTACATTTTATTAAAACTTACAAATACAACAAAAGTTTTTTAAAATTTTTTAATGTTGTTTTTTTTTTTAAAATTGTTATTCTATAGAGAAGGTTTTTCAGAATTTAATGTTTTGTTTCAAGCACGCTTTCTATCAAGCATATTTTTTCTTATTCAGAATTAAAACAAAAGTAAGAAGACTTCGGTGTACTTAAAAATGCATAATACACTGTTTGAAACTTAGCTGGAAAATTTCTTTCACTTAGAAAAGCCTACAAATGAAAAAAATATTCAAATTACCTTGACAATAAAAGATAAACATTTTTGAACAAACATAATCCTACCATGATTAACTTTCCTGCAACATTCCTACCATGGCATCAAGAGATAGAGATTTGAAACATGGGGTTAGTTTTTCGATTATAACTGGATGGGGTGTTGGCAGACTTTATATTATCTATCTTAGTAATATAATTATATTTGTAAATATTTTTATTCACATTTGCCCTTTATTTAAACTATTTATATTGTAATTTGAATTTTTTTATTGCTTTTTTTATTTTTGTGTGTTTTATTTTATATTGTTTATTAATAAACAAATATTATTTTGAAACATTGCTTAATTAAACCGTTTATTGACATTACAGCATGTCTTGAGTGTACTGTGCGCATTTTGTGTTTTCTATACTGTTATTTTAACAAACATTATCTAAATTAGCATTTTTTGTTGAAAATTTTTTCACTGTTGCATTTGTTTAATTCTGGAGTACAATGTGAATTTGTTTAATTCTGCATAATTTTTTTTTTGAAATTTATATATGTTTGTCACGTGGATGACACCAACTTAGTGTTGAGTAACTTGAGAAAATTTGTAGACAAATTTTCCACCTCAACAATATTTCTAAATTAAATTATGTTGAGAAAAAACTGTGTGTTGTGCAAAGAAGTGACATAATTTTATATAAAACTCGTTTGGATCTCAGTTAGTCCATTTCAAAGCAAATCCAAGTGTTGCCGGTACACAAAATAAAATTAGTACCTTAGTCATTTTGATAAATGTTTCTTATTCAATTTTTAAACTTAAAATGAATTATTTATGGAAACTATATTTTTATAAATGTTTTATAAAACCCCCACCATGGCAGTTTATTTTTCTACCTCTTTTCGTTTTCTCACAATCTAATTGTTTCTGGCCTTATTTATAGATTTTAATGCAAAATAATTAGCTGTAAAGAAGTCACCGAAAAAATAATTCAGAGCTTCTTTTAATTTACTGATCAACGGTAAAACGTCAGAAAACGTTAGGAGGTTATTATTTGGTAAATCATCATATTCTCAGTAAATTAATTTAATGTTTGACTGGGTTCAAAAATATTGCTGCAGCTTTTACATTACTACTAGGAAAGACTGCAAGATTGTAAATGTTGTTTATAAGATTTTTAGGTTTTAAAATGTGTTTAAAAAGAATAAAATGTTGTTTTGGAATAAGCACTAAAATGTTTTAAAAAGAAAATATAGGTATGCTATTGTCATAAAAAAATATTATAAAACTCAAAATATAATTTAAAAAGCTGTGGGATATTGAGGTGAGCTAAATAAATGTTATTATTTGGTTTTACTTCACATTTGTGTCACATATAACTATTGTTTGTATGAGTGTCGAGTTGTCTTGACATGTAAATAAAGTTTTTAATAATTGAATTTGTGTTTGTTTTATCTTTAAAGCCAATATATTTTTTTGAAATTTTGTGTACACTTTGTGACCTGTTTACTTTAAAATTGTAAAAAGTTTTTTTTTATTATTAATAAAAAATCAAAAATGGTTCTGAATAAATTTATAACTTAATTTATAAGATTTATTCATTTATTTAGAATTTTAATATATAGCTATCGATTTTAATCTTTTTGTAATTTTTTTTTTGATTTATAAATATGAAACCTAGATCATACTTTTTCCCATGCTATATTGCTTCCCATATTATATTGCTTGTATCATTATCCGTCATATTTTATACTAGTTAAAATTTGTGTATTATTTAGCGTGGAATAGATATCGTACGAGATCTATAGACAGTATGCTTTAGTAAAACCGAAACTGAAGATGGAAAATTAAACTTGTCATCAGGCCTAACTGTAAGAAGACTGTTGCTGTCAGGAAATTTTTCTGGCAAAGCTCATGGGGATTAAACTTTTCATACTTGTAGGTAGAATTTGAGAATGCTTTTATTTTGACCAGGAAATAATGTTTTGCTTTTGTAGAAGGACTTAGGAAATCAATAAATTATGCTGAAATACGAAAAAGAAAATATGGAGAGCAATGCTGGTTTAACAGCCATATAATGTAATTTTATGGTAATTAAAACAATTCTTTTTATTTTCTTAAAATTCAAATTGCGAACTAACGATCTTCTAAATGAACTAGTAACGATAATCTTGACTAGAAAAACGTTTATTTCATTTTTTTTTATGAAGTTTGCTAAAGTTGTATTAGTGATGTTTATATTCAAAATTATGTATTTCATTGAATTGTTTTAAATTTTTCAAGCTAAAAGTAAAGTTTATTTCAATTTGTTTGAATTTCAATTATGTTTGGAATTCAATGAAAGCAATTAATAGATTACTTGATTAAAAATCTTCATTAGCCTCAAAAATATACAGATTGGAAATAGCAGTCGACTTATTTCAAGTGCTGAGATATGTATGTATATATATATATATGTATATATAATATAAAGAGTGAATGAAGTTTTTTAACCAAGTAATATCTTACCGCTTCAGTTTTTTCGGATTATTTATTTAATCGATCAATAGATTATTTCAGTTCAGTATGGAATTGATAATTTCTTAGAGTGTGCCCTTACGAAAAAAGCGAGGTACAAATGAAGTATTTTTCAAAGGTATATAAAGGAGGTTGTTGAAAATGGTGCAAATGAATACCTCAAAATTAACCTTAAATATACCTCCAGAAGTATATATGCATCAACCTGAGGTGTTTGATTTTGCATCTGTAACGAGGTAGATATTTATTACTTTAAGGTGTTTCATTTTCAACCTTAGGTAATTACTTATCAACCTGAAGTATATTTTTTAACACTTATGGAGGTATTTATTCAACAACCTAATGTGTTTTATGTAACACTTCAGGTTATTATAAATCTACCTCAGGTGTATTTTTTGACATTTGGAATGGTAATTTTTTATTAACGTGAGGTGTATTATATTCGACCTTAGGTAATTATTTTTCAACCTCAAGTGTAGATTTTTATGCTTTTAAGAGGTATTTATTTATCAATCTATGGTTAGCCGTTTTACACGTCAGGTTATTATAAATCAACCTCAAGTGTATTTTTTGACCCTTGGAAAGGTTATTTTTTAACGTCATGTGTTCCATGTTCTACTTTAGGTTATTATTTCGTAACCTCAAGTATGTATTTTTAGAAGTATTAATTTATCAACCTAAGATGCGACATTTAGGCTAATATAGCTCAACCTAAAGCTGTTTTTTTTTAATACTTACGAAGGTAATAATTCCCCAACGTGATGTGTTGTACGGTCCACCTAGTTTATTAATTTTAACCTCACGATATAAAGAATATATATTATATGAAGAATAATGTATATCATTACATTTTTTCACTAGTAGATATCTTCATTTATCAACCTGAAGTTTTTAATATTAAATCTTCGGCAGTAATTGCTTCTTTTGTTAAGCTATATAAATAAGTTTCAAATGCATAATCCTGTAATTTTAATAGATTGTATTAAATCATCTTGAAATAACACTTATCCGAATTGTACAGTTAGAAAAAATTATTTGTGAGAACTAGTTGTCTAAGGTGCTTGAATTTTTAAAGCTATAAAACTGCAAATTTAAATAATTAGTCAGCTGAAATTCAAGTTACTTTTATTTAAAACTAAAATTTCATTTTTTTTACAAATCAACAAAATTATTTTAAATACTGTTTCCGTCTACTTGTTGAAACATGGAAGTATTGGAACCTAAAAGAAAAAAATATGAATTAGTAAGAAAGTCATATTTACAATAATAGTGGCAGGTTTTAAAATATTAGAAATCGGTTTTTTTCATGATTTGAATTAACTGGATGAAATAATTTTTTTTTCTCCAGATAAATGGCATTCCACTTCTGCCATTTCTATTCAATCCTCGTACCTAAAAAGCGGGACATTTACCCCAGCCATAAAATAAAATACACTGAAGTAAGTACTACCATTAACAACATTTACAGAAATTCAAATAATAATTCCAATCTTATGAAATTTTAACACTTTTTATTTTCCTATACATCTGGTATCATTATGGTACTTGTAAGTTTGATAATTAGATTTTTTTTCTTACAAATCTTAAAATTCAATAAACCTAGTTTATATTTTTAAACTTTTTGTCAGACTTCATGAAACTAATAGCTTTTTTTATAAATTTTTGAATCTGATTCTGAAAAGGACTGAAGGATTCTGAAAATCACTTTATCAGTCTGGTTGATATGAAGTGAATTTAAAACAACCTCAAAATAAGCTTAGGTATAAATAAAATGAGTTCATACACCTCAATAAATACCTCACTCTTTTTAGTTGAAATAAGGTAAATATTTTTATACCTCATAAATAACTCTTTTGTTACAAGCATCAGAAAAACAGTCTTGTGCATACCTTAGAATTCACCTCATCAGTTTGGTTGATATGAAGTGAATTAAAACAACTTCAAAATAAGCTTAGGTATAAATAAAATGACTTCATGCACCTCAATAAATACTTCACTCTCTTTAGTTGAAATAAGGTAAATTTTTTTATACCTCATAAATACCTCTTTTGTTTCAAGTGTCAGAAAAACAACCTGGTATATTT